CATTGGATTATATTTCTAATTCATAGGGCAGTTACAGTGAGGCCTCTAGAGATGTTGGCAGAGTATTCTGGTGCTACTACCAAGTTTCCTGCATATAACTTGACCTAGATGCTCCGTCATAGCAGGCCGAGTGCACCTAGTCAGCCGGGCCGTCGCCCAGAGGTGCCAGAGACTGCAGCCCAGCAGGATGAGACTATCAGGGGCATTGCAGCTACAGAGGAGGAGCAGTTAAATGCTCAACAGGAGGGTATGGTAGAGAGCGACCCCAGCGATAGTTCAGATGATGACTACTAGGATATCCCTCAAATGCCTCCTCGATGACATGACCATGAGGCTGGTAGCTCTAGTTCAGCTCCACCTGCACCACAGATAGACCCCGCTCTACTTGCTATACTTGAGCAGATGAGGCAGGATCAGGCTCGCCAGGCTCAGGAGACCGCTGCTACATTTGCACAGTTTCAGGCCAGACAGGATGAGTTCTAGCGACAGCAGCAGGCTATCCAGCAGCGGCAGGCCATGCAGCAGCAGCTCCTCATGCAGCAGCAGTTACTTGGATTTATGCAGCACGTCGTCTCTGCTATTGGGGCTCCACCGCCACAGCCTTCACCCTAGATCGGCCAGCCTGCCACCACTTCTATAACTCTAGCTTTACAGCCCAGTGGGCTTCAGAGTCAGGGACAGCCAGCGGCACAGTTTCCTTCACCTACAGAGTAGGTGTCCCAGTAGTTTGCCTCGCCAGTGCTAGCCCCACAGTTCACACCTGTACAGACGAGGTTCACTCCGCCTCAGAGTTCCTCAGTGCTCACCCCAATTACCAGGAGCCTTGGTGCTACCTTCAGCGAGTTGATAGGGCAGCCTACTTTGCCAGAGCTACATGTCCCTGGTCCTTCCACAGTTGCTCCTATTACAGGGACTATAGAGACACTCCCTTCATCAGTTGCATCATCAGAGCCGCCTGCCACAGTCATACCTGCAGAGTCATAGGCCGCACCAGTCTCTGATCTGACCCAGATCGCTTGAGCGTCACTTCCAGCCACAGAGGGTCAGACTGCACAGAGCTCAGGATTAGATGATGATGGCACAAAATTCTAGATCGCTCATCGCACCTTAGCGCCCGACTCGTCCGCTGCAGCCCCGCCGACAGACCCTTAGGTTTTGGTGTTTGACGCCAAAGGGGAAGAGGGGTCGAGAATGATAGACTTAGGGGGAGCGATACATCTAGGGGGAGCTTATCTATTATATTTGGCTTTTAATGTGTGATACATTTTTATGCATTCATATTTACTATTATGTATTGAACTACATAAGTGTGATCGTAATCATGATATTAATGTGATCGTGATATTTATATGATATGTGACATGTGTGCTCTCTACTTTGAATTATTTATATGTCATGTCACTTGGTTATGCTCATTTGCTTTGCTTCTGTGTTTTACTCCGATGCAAATGAGCTTTATTTCGTGTACTCATGCTTATTTCATATCTGTTGAGTACATCATATTGGCTTGGGTCATATAAGCTTGCCTAACTCTTTTGTTCTTATTGTCAAAAGCTTATATGAACCAAGCATGTTGAAAACCTCATCTCTTTTTACATACTCGAGGTTGTATTGTCATCAATCACCAAAAAGGGGGGGATTGAAAGCATCTAGGCTCCTAGTTGGGTTTCGGTGATTAATGACAATACGTGATTACTATGACTAACGTGTATTTTGCAGAGGTAATTAAGTTAGGTCATGATAATGGCAATTGATTGGGCAATCATGGTTGTCATGCCCCTACGATGGAAATCATTTTGGTTTTTAAAGGATGGACGACAAGGTTAAGGTGGACTAGTTCTAAGTATCGTTTGATGTTGAAGAGACACTTAGAGTAGTTTAGGACTTTGTTTTTCCTTTGGTTGTACTATTAAGGAGGGTATGGACGGACAGCTTGACCTAGGTGAGTCTAGTGGGTTAGGTGTGGTGCACACTTGTCAAATCTAGCACTAGGTAGCTCCTAAATAACCCTAAGATCAATTGGAGCAAACTTCATTCACATATGATTGCGAGTTGGAAGTGAATGGAGGGTCAAATGTTGACTGGATGCTGGTTTCGGTGTGACTGGACGCTGGGGCAGAATCCGGTCAGTTCATTTGATCAAGGTGAAGTCGTCTGGATGCGACCGGACGCTGAGTGAGGTGTGACCGGATGGTGGGTGCCAGAGTCCGGTGAACTCCAGTAAGGTTCCAGATAGGGAGAATCCTGATCGGACGCGTCCGGTCAGTGCTAACCGGACGCTGGGTTCTAGAGTCCGGTCAACATCAGTAAGGTTTCAGAGGGTAGTTTTCACGACCGGACGTGTCCGATTAGTGCTGACCGGACGCTGGCCAGTGTCCGGTCATAACTTAACGGCTTGGTGGCGGGGAGAACTAACCGGAGCGTCCGGTCACCTTGACCGGAGCGTCCAGTTACCCTGCAATGGTACATAACGGTTCGTTTTGAAAAAGGGGTTATAAATACTTCCTCTATTCACACAAGGGATCACTTTTGCTCATTCCAACAGCTGAGAAACACACTTGAGAGTGCCAAGAAGAGCAAGGTCCTAATGAGGTGATTGAGATTTGAGAATCCAAGAGAGAGGCCTCATTAGTGAAAGCAAGAGTAGCAAAGTGTGCATCCACCCTTCTTATTAGGCTTGTCGTGGTCAAGTGAGAGTTCGTGCTTGTTACTCTTGGTGATCGCCATCACCTAGATGGCTTGGTGGTGATTGGGAGTTTGGTGATCATCCAACGGAGCTTGAGGATGACCCAACTCGAGTTGTGAGCGGTTGTGGGTGATTCATCGCGACGGAGTATCGAAGAATCAACCCGTAGAGAGCACTTGATCCTTGCGCGGATCAAGGAGGAGCTACACCCTTGCGCGGGTGCTCCAACGAGGACTAGTGGGGAGTGGCGACTCTTCGATACCTCGGTAAACATTGCCGCGTTCCTCCTTCTCTATTTACTTTAAGCATTTACTTTGAGCAATTCAATTCTTGTCTTTACATTCATAGAATTGCCATGCTAGAGTAGGATTGGAGCATAGGTTGCTAAAATTTTGTGCGGTAGAACAATAGGAATATTTTTTAGGCACAAGGGGTGAAGTGGGCTAACCATAGGGTTTAATTATTGCAAAGAATTTTAGAATTAGCCCAATTCACCCCCCCTCTGGGCATCTTGATCCTTTCAGGTAGCTATATGGAAGTTGGTTGGGGTAGCTGTATGGAAGTTTGATACTGGTGGTCTTTATAGTGGTAGGGATTTAGCACTTGTTATATACTCAGTGGTTTGTTTTTTGTGGGGTTTATTTCCCTAATTTGGAGCTTTCAATCACTAATCGTTTTCCACATTTTAAGATGTTAATTTTTAGCAACGCCTATTTACCCCCCTCTAGGTGACTTCCTCGGTCCTTACACAGCACACAAACCAATGTGAAAGTTAAAAGACCTGCATGCCCCTACGTTATGTCTCCTTTTCTCTTTTCCCGTTCGCGTCACCGAGCCTGGCGTTAGCGTCGCCAAAATTGTGGAGGAGAAGGTGACGGCGGACGCCTCCACGCCGGTGGAGGAGAAGAGAACGGCGGCGTGTCTCCATGCTAGTGATGGAGAAGAGCGGCCCGTGTGCCGGCCTCCGCACCGGTGGAGGAAGAGAGGAGCCAGGGGTGGAGGATTTGCGAGGGAGGGGGCGGAGCGGAGGGTCCGGCGGTGGATCCAGCGATGGTGGCCACTAGTGGAGGAGAAGAGGAGCCAGGGCTGCAGATCTGTGAGGGAGGGGGCGAAGTGGAAGGGCCTCCGGTAGATCCAGCGATGATAACCGCCGGTGGAGAAGAGGAGCCAGGGCGGTGGATCTACGAGGGAAGGGGTGGAGCGGAAGGGCCGGCGACGGATCTGGCGATGGCGACCGTCGGAGGCATCGTGGAGGAGAAAGGGGATGGTAGACGCGGCCTCACCGCTAGTGGGGGAGAAGAGAAGGGCGGCGTGACCTCCGTGCCGATGGAGAAGAAGAGCGGCCCGGGCACTGGCCTTCGCCCAGTGGAGGAGAAGAGGAGCCAACAGGGTGCAACCTCTGTCCGTGCGGCGCGTCCTCGCAGGGGCGGCGCCTGTGTTTTGACTGCGAAGGATGCTGGCGTGGAAAGGATGAGGTGGGAGCGAGCAGATCGAGGAGGGAGCAGGGGCTAGGCTAGAACGATTTTTTCTTTGGGACAACTTTCGAACCGTAGAACAACTTTTTTTTCTGGGACGGAGTGAGTATAGATATAGATTGGGCGTCAAACTAGTGAACAGACTCTACATTGCGCAAGCAATTGGCCATGAGCTCCAGAACTTGTTAACTCGCGACACGAGTGCTTTTGAACACAGCACCCATCCTCCGTCTCCGTGATCTCCAGATCTAACTGAACGAAAATCCACCGAGCGCGCTTTGGTGCGGCGGCGTCGTGGCAGGCATCATCTGGTTTCCCTTGCCAGTCTAACAGGTCGTGAAAGCCGGCCAGCGACAACTGCTTTATGCACGACGAGGCTAAAAAAGATTACTCTCAACACGCAACGGCTAGCTGGCCTCAGCCACGGCCCACGGCGAAGAGGGCCGCCATCTCCGCTGTCCGTCCATGATCCGGCCGCCCCGGCTCACTCGTCGCAACTAGCCGTTGCGCGCGATCCCCCGGTCCCATGTCCCATCATCCCGAGCTGGTCCCGGTGGCCCGCCGTGTGCCGCCGTTGCACTGGACACAAGGAATCAGGCCCAACGGCTAATAAGAACCAACCCAAAAGTATTCAAAAACCACCCCAGCGGGCCGCGCCGCCTCGCCTCGCCTCGCCTTTAAATACGTCGTCGTCCCCGGCGGCCTTCTCCCATCCATCACCAATTTCCCATACCATCCTCAAGATTCAAGCAGCAGCGGCGCCCCATCTTCCGTCCTTTCCGCCGCTTGCTGACCCAGGAAGGAAGTCACTCACTCTCACTCACTCACTTGTGACACAGATGGCCCGCCTCGCCGCCGTCCTCGTTGCCTTCCTCGCCCTCTTCGCCGTCGCGGCCACGGCACAGGCCCCTGCCGCGTCGCCCAAGCGCGCGCCGGCGCCGGCGCCACCCAAGTTGGCCCCTCTCCCGCCGCCGCCGACCAGGGCCCCGATGGCCTCCCCGCCCTCGCCGCCCACGGTGGCGCCGGTGTCCGCGCCCTCCGCCGACGCACCAGCCACGAGCCCCATCGGCGCGGGAGTTGGCGTCGCGATGGCCCCGGCGGGAGCCTCCGCTCTGACTCCGGCGGCTGCGCCCGTCACGGAGAAGAGCGCCGCCGTATCTGCCTCTGCCGCCAGCTTCTTCGTCGTCGCCGGAGCTGTGGCAGCCGCCGTCGTCTTCTAGACTAGACATCTGCAGCCGCATTCGGGGAGGAGCAGCAGCTGCAGCTGCACCTGCGCGGCTCTGTTTCCTCTGTTTTACGATCCATCATTTATTTGTTTGTTTGTTTGTTCGTTCTTTCGAGGCTTGAGACAGAGATGAGGAGGATGTGTAATCCTTCAATTTTCAGACGGGAGCTGTGTTTGTTTGTTTGCTTATATAAGCAGATTATATTCTTTCATTACCAATTTCTCCTTACAATTTGCACACTAAAACTACTAGCGATTACAACAGCAACACACAGCTTTATCAGTCAAACAAAACCGTAATAACGGCCCTGCTCTGCCTTGCCTTTCTTCTGATTTCCCTCATTGAGAAAGGACTTAGAACTGCGTTTTTTCAATACTCTGCTGAGCTGTCAGTCGTGTCTCAGCATGTGCTTGCTGTGATTCATGATACCCTTCACGTGCTCCTCAATTTCGTCGACCTGCATCAACAAGTGTTTGTTTAGTCAGGGATGCATCTGATTGCACAACAACTACTGGAGTGTATATTGTCTAGTGCAAGTTTGTGCTGGGCAACAAGCATATCCTTGTACAAAATTTCTGTTGCTTGGGAAGGTGTGCCTCCTCGGCGACTTCCTTGGACGCGTGCTCCAGGAGCACGGCCGCTGCCCTCAGCCTCCCGTTCTCGGGCACCTGCTCGGCCACTTCTGACGATACCTTCTCTGCAACGGTGGCCGCCTCCTCGACGACCTCCGCCAGTGTCTTTCACCATCTTCACCTCACCTGAGTACAACCAGCCTCCAGCCAGTTAAATTTCGCATCAGTGATGAACGGTCGTGAGTACCGTGCAGTCAGGACGCGATAATATATCCCTGCAGCAGAGCAGAGATTTTCAGAACCAGAGCTCGTTTGCTTACTCTGAATCCGCAGGAACGACGCCCATCTGGAATGCAGGAATGGTGTAGCGGCAGCAAGAATAGAGCCAACGGCCAATCTTGCCCTGATACATAACATACACCATTACACAAAAGGAACATGCAGGATTAGGAGCCGGACACAATAAAAGGAAGCCACCAGTAACTGTACAACGGACAGAAACAGTCACCAGGTGAAGAAAGGCGTCCGCTTCTGTTGTTGGGATTGGGACTGCTGGCTCGGCATCGGCAGAGCCGGCGGACGTCTCGCCTCGGCCGCGCCGCTGGAGGCTGACAATCCCCGTCGGTTCAATGCCTGGAAACGCGGTGGCGCCGCCGTCACGGGTCCGAGGCGGGTGGCGGAGCGCAGCTTCTGGCAGTAGAGGGACGCGAACGACCTGACCAGAGACGACATGGCCGGTTGCTGGAGTATCTTCAGGTGACGATGATCGCTCGATGGATGCTCAACAGTCAACACCCGGTCGCTGAGTCCTTGAGCACATCGATTAACGTGGAAGGAGCGCCTCTCTCTCTCTCTCTCTCTCTCTCTCTCTCTCTCTCTCTCTCTCTCTCTCTCTCTCTCTATATATATATATATATATATATATATATATATATATATATATATATATATATATATATATGAAAATTATTTTCAACTCTCATGGAGTAGTTACTCCCATGTGTATATTTTTAGATTTAGGACATATATGGTCCGACGAAGTGTACGTAGATGAAGTATATCATCATACTAGACCATCTAGATCACTATGTATGACAAATATGTAGGCATACTTAGAGTATATGGTTATACATATTTTATATGCTACTGTCATAGTATTACATAATATATTAAAAATATGTGCTCTTTTAAAAAAAAATTCACATAGTAAAGATCTGGAGTATCTTAATATTAGTACGTCAACCTACTCAAACTGATAAATGAGTATGTACATACGTAACGTGATTTATTGATTATGGGAGTAACTACTCCCGCGAGTATATAAAATGCAACATATATATATATATATATATATAAAAGAGTTAAATATACTGGCGGCCTTTAAACTCGTAATGTTGTGCCTCTTAGGTCCACGAACTCTCAAAATCAAAATTCGACCACCTGAACTTGTTAAATGATGCACTACAGATCCATACTCTTTCGGAAGTTGCTGACTAGGCTAATTTTTTTTTTTAAAACACCCAGCCATTGCGAGCGGGAGGTGCTGGCGGAGGCAGCGCGAGCGGGGGTGGCGGTGCGGCCGCGATCGGCGCGCGGCGCGGCGCGAGAGCACATCCGTCAGTAGGGGAGGTTGCGGTTCTTGCGCTGGTGCTGCTCCATGGACCAGTAGGACGGGAGACCCCGTATGTTGGTGGCCGGCGCGGTTGCGGTGGCGCGGGACTCGTAGTCGCGGAGGAGGTTGTCCCACTTGTCGTTGCACTGGTTCTGCCTGCGGAGGCAGCCGTGGTTCCAGAAGAAGTTCTCCAGTCAACAACGAGTCAATGCATGCAAGCAAGCGCACAAAAGGGAAGCTCAAAGCTGACACCTAGCAGCAGGACAACCTTGTACATGCATGCGAGGGCGAGACCAATGCAATGCTACATTCCACCTCCAAAAGAATTTCTAGTCACAGCCTCCAACAATGAATCACGCATCACCTTATTTACATCTCGGGCGGTCCCTGGATCGTCGGAGCTCAGCTAGCCGGCCGCCCGGCCGGATTGCACAACGCCGGCGGTAGCTATAGCAGAGCTGGGAGGAAGATGATCGACCACGACGGGGCTAGTAGCTGCGGGGGTCAATGCCGTTGCCGGCCGGACGGTTACCGGGAGGCGGAGTCGCCGCTGCGGTGGTCGGAGACGAGCGCGTGGATGGCGCTGGAGAGGCTGTTGACGGCGGAGACAAGGCCCGCGAAGCCCTGGCGCCGCACCTCCGTGCGCTCCTCCACCAGCCGCAGCCGCCGCTCCTCCAGCTCCAGGACCTCCCGGTGCTGCCGCTCCCGCTTCTCCTCGCACGCCACCAGGGTGCGCGCCAGCACCGCCGCGCTGCGCACCACATTGGACCCCAGCCAGTTCAGCCGCCGCCGCTTCGGCTCCGGCTCGCCGCCGTCCGACCCGTCCTCACCGGACTCCGACGACCCGTCGGCTCCTCCGCTGAATGCATGTACAAACATACATCTATCCACACATCATCAAAACGTTACAGTAACAGGCTAAACTACAAAGCAGTTACCATGCATTATGGTTTAAATATAGTTTATTTACTAGGAAAACAAACAATCTGGAGAACAAAAGGTGCTTTGTTAGTTCGTTTGCATTATGGTTTAAATAGCAGGGTGTTTTTTTTTAAAAATTAGCCTAGTCAGTACCTCCCAACGGGGTAAGGACCTGTAGTGCACCATTTAACAAGTTCAGAGGGTCAAATTTTGATTTTGAGAGTTCGTGGACCTAAATAACACAACGCTACAAATTTAAGGGCCACCGGTGCATTTAACTCTATCTATAATAACATGATAATAACATGGACACATTGCCACCGGCGACGGCGTGAGGATTGAAAGCGTGCGCATTTGTTAGCTTGCAAGGAATTGATGGATCTGAGATTGGGGTGAATGATCTCTGCACGTCAGTGCAAAAGGCTGTCGATTTCGGGATCAGATATAGCGTTGCCAGGCCAAAAAGGATGCGGTGTCATGTGGTGGAGTGGCTACTACCGAGCGCTAGCTAACGTGCTACTGAAACGTGAAGCAATATGGAACTGCATGGCATACTCGCTCAGCATAAAGCATGGATATACTTCCTCTGTCCCAGTTTATCTGTCGTCGTAGTGACAGTAGAGTGTCTCAATTTATCTATCGTTGGCTACTCGTGTCGTACTGGTAGTAGCTGTACCGCAGTGCACCACGCGTTGTTGACCAAGGCAAGCCTTATCCCTTCCCTCCCCCCTCCCAGCCTCACACAGCAGCTTCACAGACCACGAAAAAAAAGCATCCTCATCCCCATCCTCATCGGCCTCATCCCCACATCGGCCTCATCCCCATCTCGGTGGATCCGCAAGCTTGCCGTCGCAGCCGCCCTCCGGCGACTCCCCTCCGCCAACATGGTCTAGCGCCGGGTCACGCGAGCAGGGAGCGTGGGCTGCTACTCTGCGCGACGCCGCCAAGGCTCTACGGTAGCGCACTGCGCCTGCCTCCTCCGACCACGCCTCGCCCTTGCATCCTGCGTCAGCTCACGAGAGCTGGGAGCACCGGCACCTCCTCCACGCGACACCGCCGAGGCGCCGACGACCATCCAAAAGCGCAGGGCCCGAGCACAGTGGTCGATCCGACACGCAGAGGCACGCCGCTCGTGCTATCCGCAAACGTAGCGGATTATATTGGGTGCGTACTCCGTACTTGCTACTAGTATACCATGAACGCATGAATTGTTTAGTATTCTGGTGAAATCCTCAGGGTTACCATACTGAGATCTAGAATCTAGGATTGACTAGTACCAGGCATGGCCGCTTTTTCCCAGATCTTTGCTCTTTGCATTGCGTATACTAGTAGATGCCTTTTGGAATACTCTAGCTGCAGCTATGCTCGTTGGATGCAAAATCAAGCTAAGGTGCAAGCTTAATACTACTGCGTGCTTGCTAGTAGTAGATGCATGCTAGCATAAGAGCAACTCCAAGAGTTTGTCTAAAACTAATAGCCAAATTCCTTATTTTAGCCATTGTGTAAAATAAAAAAGTCTAAAAAAGGACTCTACAACAGTCTAGTTATTTTGTGTCTTGTATATTTGAAAACATGCTATTTCTGGATAGGGCCAAAAGAAATTCATGAGGGGAGGGGAGCGCCAAACAGAAATTCATGTAGGGAAGAGGGATAGCTAGTGGCTGCTGTGTCCTGTGTGCTATTTGTAGCTAGAGAGAAATAAGGGATACATGACTTCTTATTTTAGATTACCGGATACAATATCTGTTGGAGTCCTGTTTTTCCACAAACTTCATCTAAATGTAGACTCCAAAACAAATATACACCATCTGTTGGAGTTGCTCTAACACTGTATTCATTTTTGTGTGGGCGGATTGCTTAGTACTACTAGTTCGTATTAGAGTGACATCTGCATCTAACATTTAGGAAAATGGTCGCTCAGCTGCTATCATGCTCATAAACCTATTGCTGAACTGGTGTTGTTTTGATTAACAAGACTGCCTTCTTGTGCTACAGGCGATCCTTCGATGGCAGGCGGCAAGGGAGCACATGGGGGTAGCCGGTTCATTCGTCACTTGCGGATGAAGCGCGCCTTGGGCATCCCATTGAGCCATAGGATGTGGCCCACCAGGCAGATGCGTGGTCGGGATCGTCGTCGTGGAACTTGGTTTGACCAGGAGCTAAACTGCATCGCCATCGAAGGAGTGGATTTTGCTCAAAATACAGAAGAAGGGGGTGCAGATCGATTTGAGCTGATACATGATTCGGATGAAGATGGAGTTGCTAAGGGTTCATCTTTGCTTGGTGATGACGATGAGTATGTGCCTGAGACAGAGCCACAGGATGTTACTACGGCAAGCAAAATTACTGGGCCGTGCGCCAACCATGGCCGTCTGCATTTGGGGTCAGCCATCTAAACGTTGTCTTGCAATTTGGTTGTCATACTGGTACCTTACTAATTTTGTGTACAAATTCTGTGTGCAGTACTGCGCTTCGCGAGTGGCGACGGCTTATTTCTGATGTGGAGAATGAGAGCGCCAAGGTGTAGATGGACACCGTCAAGTTGGAGAAGGAGAGTGCCAAGATGGAGATGGAGAGTGACAACTTCGTGATGAGTGCCAAGGTGCAAATGGACACTGTCAAGTTGGAGAAGGAGAGTGTGAAGGTGCAGATGGGCAGTGTCAAGTTGGAGAAGGAGAGTGCCGAAGTGCTGATGGGTAGTGTCAAGTTGGAGAAGCAGGGTGCCAAGGTGGAGATGGACAGTGTGAAATTGGAGAAGGAGAGTGCCAAGGTGGAGATGGATATTGGCAAGAAGGAGCTGTTGGACCATAAGCCCTGCTGCAAAAAGTTTCAGGTGATAGGTATACACTAAAAATTCCTAGATGATCATAGTGATTTTAGCAAAGAGGAACTAAAGCACCATTTACTAATTTAAGAGAGAGAGACTATAGAGAACACCTGGTACACAAGAGTTTCTGGTGAGAAAATAGTAGCAATAACTAAGTAACATGATGTTGCTTCTGATTTTAGAACCGAAAAATAAACAAGAGCATAGAGAGAGAGAGAGAGAGAGAGAGAGGGAGGGAGGGAGGGAGGGAGGGAGGGGGAGAGGGAGAGAAAGAGAGAGATGAACTAGTTCAAGTTTTGGGTACAAACAGATGTGTTTACCTTGATGAATTTCTGCTTGTTCATCATTTTGATCAGGATGGAGACTAAAGTGGTCAGCTCCCCAAACTTCATCTACAGCCACTTTGGTCTCTAACCTGATCAAGATGTAGTGGCTGTAGATGAAGTTTGGTGCGCTGCAGTATAGCTACTACTAGTACAACACGAGTAGCCAACGACAGATAAATTGGGACACTCTACTGTCGCTACGACGACAGATAAACTGGGACGGAGGGAGTAGCATGGAAGATGGATGAGAGGTGAAGGTTCAAATGAAGGCAACGAGAGGGTCACCAGGCTTTTATTTCCTAGTATATGGTCAAGAAATGGCGCTGGTGGCAATAGTTTGAAGTTTCAGATTGCTTTGGCTGTGTAAAATTGGCGCTAAGTGGTTTTTGCGGCAATGGTTTGAAGTTTCAATTTGTTTTGGCTGTAAATTTGACGATAAGTGGTGTTTGCCGCCGAGCAAAATGTATTTTTTTGTTGTCATCATTGATTTTTTAAGAGAAAAACATTGTACTGCATGTTTAAGTGTGAAAAGGTGGATGTCAATGCTGATTTGTTTATTTTAAAAAATGATGCAGTGGATGGCATTGATGGCATGTGCATCCAAATTCACAGTTGAGAAATGATTGGTATGTAGGGGTATCAGTGTCTTTGGCCACTCTCTTTGGTATCTAGTGTTGAGGCTCCGACGACAGATAAACTGGGACGGAGGGAGTATTTGGATAGCAGTAGCAGACATGCTAGCATGCCGGTGCCTAAACCTGAAGCTTGAAAGCAACAACGTTCGGTTGTATCTGCTTTGTCATTTTTTTTTACGAAGTCCGATTCTACCTCATCCTATGACGACATGTTGCTTGTACGTTTTGTAGCATCGATAAACCTCCCGCTTTCTTTAGGAATTTTATAGAGCTGGCCAATCTTAATTTTGATCACTGTCAAATTTTCCTACGAGCCATTCCTCCACTGTGACCTGTGAGCTCTTACTATTCCTTTTCTGGGCTTTGCCTTTAATTTGCGGCCGGCGACAGAGAAATTAGGTCATGCTTATTTGATCTAGAGATTCTATAAACAGAAATGCTATACACCACACATATGTTTTAGAGGAAAAAAACACATGGACTTTTTCTCTCTCTTTTTTTCACCAGTGATCACCGCCTCCGGCGAGCTCGCTCCTCAGGTCGGTCTCGCCTCGTGCCCTCGTGTGTTGTATAGTCAGTTAAATTAACACCACCGTACCAGCCAGCCGAGCATGGTTTGAAATTAATCATGGCATTCGCTACCTACTTGTACTGCTTGCAGCGGCAGGTGATCCGGACCAAGAGCGTGGAGTTCATGCCCATCTCGCTCTCCTTCCTCCTGGTGCTCAGCGCCGTGATCTGGTTCGCGTACGGCGCGCTGAAGAAGGACGTGTTCGTGGCGGCTCCCAACGTGCTGGGCTTCGTCTTCGGCGTCGCGCAGATGGCGCAGTACACACATGACGGATCCGGCTTCAGATATTTCTGGCTCTACGATTTGTTATTTGTCCTTTCATAAAAAAAATTGTTTCTTATGATCTTGTGATATGTGGATCTGTGATCTTGTGATTTGTGGTTGTCTAGATGTAGAAGAAGGCTGGAGGTAGAAGAAGAATGGAGGCTGTTGGATCTTAATTCTATGGTGAAAAAAATTCATGTGTTAAAACTACATAAAACACATGGTTGTTGGGTAGACAGACTCTTCTATAAAAAGTAGGCAGTTTTGCAGACTGCGGGTCATGAAAATCTGAAGGTGAAAAAGTTGGTACCCGTTTGGCAGCCTAGATTCTATCTTATTATGGCTGCTCTTTGTTCCACTAGCATGTCAGCCATTCTTATTCTCACCTCAGAGCATCTCCAAAAGTTCCCAAAACATACTCATAATCTAGGATTTTTAGTAAGATTGGAAAAAAATCATCTCCAACAACTCCTAATACAACCTCTAATCTTTTAGGACTTGGGGAAAATGAGCCGTCGGCTCATAAAGTTACACGCGATGCGCGTGTGCGTATCCTACTCACGCTAGTCCCCGCGACAATTCCCCGGGACCAACTCAACAACTCCGGCGTCGTGCCTCACGGCATCGACGTGCACTGCATCGCAGGCCTCATCAAGGTTTCTGGTACCATACCGTTGTTCTGGGAGCAAAAGTGGTTCCAGGAGCTCCCCGGTGGCCTGCTGGACGCGTTGCCGACGGGGGAGTGACGCAGTGCGAGACGGAGGATGACTGCGCACGGCTCTGCGGCAGCTGCGCCAGGCTGACGGCGCCCAAGGCCGTGTTTCTAGACTGGGCGGTGAACCTCATGGCAGACGGGGTGCAGGAGGAGAAGGCCAACACGATGGGCACACACAACTTGCTCACGGCGCTCGGCCACGCTGTGCAACACATGAACTTCCTCAACATGCTCATTGACAGGGCGCTGAAGCACCACCACCAGCCATCCTTGTCTTCTTCTACCTCCTCTGTCCTCGTCAAGGCAGCTCCTGTCACCAACTGATGAATGACGATGGCCATTGTTGACGGTAGTTACCATCCATCATAAACCATCAATAAAACATGTATAAGGGCATACATACGATCATCAACAAAGGTCTAGGGGTTTAAACTAACAAATTCCTTGAGTTTTGGTGAATCTATATTTTCTACAGGGTTTATTCAGAAAACCGTCTAGGTGGACCTACATGTCGGAATTAATTGCGCTTATCCGCAACGAAACAAACACCAGAAGGTTCCAGAAGACTCGAGAGGACTCCGCACCGAGGCAGAGCCCGAGTGGCTGCCACCTGTAGGCTGCCCGGCCCCCCAGGGCCCACATGTCAGTTTTCGTTGTTATGTCGGTTCTCCACCGCCTCCTAGATTGCATCTAAGCTGTTTATTCAAGTCGGTTTGATCCGAGGGCTCAGGATTGAC